CAAGCAAGGCTGTCCGCCATTTTTTTCCCCTTTTCCGGCGGGTGCCTTACCTCCCTTGGGCTGGGCCAGCTGGTGGTCGGCCTGCTCCGTCTCTGCCGCTTGCCAGCTACGCCTCGGCCGGCGCAGGGGGCGGAACCACGCATGCGCGGTGCTCCCGGGCAGGGAAAGTCCTCGACTTACGACCGGTTGGGTAGTCCTCAACTTACGACTGGTTTAGTCCTCAACTTACGACCGGTTGGGTAGTCCTCAACTTACGACTGGTTTAGTCCTCAACTTACGACCGGTTTAGTCCTCGACTTACGACCGGTTGGGGGTCGTGGCATTAAAAAGGTTGAGAACCACTGCCCTATATAGTACCATTTCAGACAAATGGCTACCTGTGTAGCGTGCTCTTAAAAGTTTCATCCAGGAACCATTCTCGTGCCAGGAGGAAACTTGGGGGGAGGCAGAGCTTGAGAAAGGATTTTAAGCATGATTTCATTCTAACTGTCTGTTCCTCGTCAACCTTAGGTGGTTCCTGACAGGTATGAGCCGGAAGGATGCTGAGCGTCACCTGCTGGCTCCAGGAAACTTTATCGGCTCGTTCATGATCCGAGACAGTGAAACAACTAAAGGTAGATTATTTAAAGCCTGGAGACTAAAACATATGAAGAACGGCTGCAGGGATTGGGTATGGCCAGTCTAGAGAAAAGAAGGACTGTGAGGGGGGAGGACATGATAGTGGTATTCCAGTATTTGAGAGGCTGCCACAAAGAAGAGGGGAGGTGTCCACCTGTTCTCCAAAGCACCTGAAGGCCAGACAAGAAGCAACGGATGGAAAGTAATCAAGGAGAGAAGCAACCTGGAACTAAGGAGGAATTTCCTGACAGTGAGAACAATTAACCAGTGGAACTACTTGCCTGCAGAAGTTGTGGATGCTCCAACACTGGAGGTCTTCAAGAAGAGACTGGACAGCCATTTGTTTGGAATGGTATAAGGACTTTGCTTTGAGCAGGGGTTGGACTAGAAGACCTCCGAGGTCCTTCCAAGTCTGTTGTTCTATTCTGTTAGTTTAATGAAGAGAAGGACCAGGGGGGACATGATAGCAGTTTTCAAGTATTTGAGGGGCTGCCCCAAAGAAGAGGGAGTCAAGCTATTCTCCAAAGCACCTGAAGGCAGGACAAGAAGCAACGGATGGAAACTAATCAAGGAGAGAAGCAACCTGGAACTAAGGAGAAACTTCCTGACAGTGAGGACAATTAACCAGTGGAACAACTTGCCACCAGAAGTTGTGTGTGCTCCATCAAAGGGGGGGGGGTTAAGAAGAGATTGGACAACCATTTGTCTGAAATGGTATAGGGTCTCTGGCTTGAGTAGGGGGTTGGTCTAGAAGACCTCCAAGGTCTCTTCCAGCTCTATTCTGATTGATAGATCCCTTTTCCAGGGCAGGTGGGGGATAGATCCACTCTTACTGCTGGCATTCAGTAAGCGAGACGTTGCATCTGTCCACATCTGCTTCTCTTTTGAGAGGTAGATTTAAAAAAAAAATAATTGACTTGGCTTCTCGCTCCTCTTCCTCTCCGTCCCGGTCCAGGGAGTTATTCCCTCTCCGTAAGAGACTTCGATTCCCAAAACAAAATGGAGGTGGTCAAACACTACAAGATTCGAACTCTGGACAACGGGGGTTTCTACATCTCCACCCGGAGCAACTTCCGCACTCTGCAGGAACTGGTCAGCCATTACAAAGGTGAGTCTCCCAAATCTGGCAGCTGCCGAGCCACGTTTTTACACCGGAGGAGGTGGTGGTGGGGGGAGAAATGTCCATCCGTTGGATCCGGGGTTAAAAAAATCCACCCCTTTTGACGGACAAGAAACTGGGGTCGGAAGAGGGTGACCCAGCCTCTTTGCAATGGCGTGTGGGAACGGCCGCGGGAGAGAGGAGGAAGAACTGCTGAGCAGGCAGCGATCGGATAAAACCCGGGTCTCCAAATTGGGCGACTTTAAGATCTGTGGACTTCAAGTCCCAGAATTCCTCAGCTAGCCCTGCTCTCTCTCTCTCTCTCTCTCTCTCTCTCTCTCCCTTTCTCTCCCTCTCTCCGTCTCTTTCGTTCTCTTTCTCTCTCCTTCCCTCTCCCTCCCTCTCTCTCTTCCTCTCTCTCTTTCTCTCTCTCTTCCTCTCTCTCTCCTTCCCCCTCTCTCCCTCTCTCCGTCTCTTTCATTCTTTCTCTCCCTCTCTCTCCCTCCCTCTCTCTCTTCCTCTCTCTCTCCTTCCCCCTCTCTCCCTCTCTCCCTGTCTCTTTCATTCTTTCTCTTTCTCTCCCTCTCTCTCCCTCCCTCTTTCTCTTTCTCTCCCTCTCTCTCTCTTTCTCTCTCTCTTCCTCTCTCTCTCCTTCCCCCTCTCTCCCTCTCTCCCTGTCTCTTTCATTCTTTCTCTTTCTCTCCCTCTCTCTCCCTCCCTCTTTCTCTTTCTCTCCCTCTCTCTCTCTTTCTCTCTCCCTCTCTCTTTCTCTCTCTCTCCCTCTCTTTCTCTCCCTCTCTCCCTCTTTCTCTCTTTCTCTCCCTCTTTCATTCTCTCTTTCTCTCCCTCCCTCTCCCCCTCTCTTTCATTCTTTCTTTCTCCTCTCTCTCTCCCTCTCTCTCCCTTTCTCTTTCTCTCTATCTTTCTCTTTCTCCCTCCCTCCCTCCCTCTCTTTCTCCCTCCCTCCCTCCCTCTCTCTCTCCCTCCCTCCCGCTCTTTCTGTCTCTCTCCCCTCCCTCTCTCTCTCTCTCGTATTTCTGGGTGCACCCTTTGATTCGGGTACCTCCCAGTGAACTTCAACTCCCAGAATCCCCCAACCAGCATGCTAATGGGGGACTTTAAGATTAGCTGGCTGAGGAATTCTGGGAGTTGAAGTCCACCCATCTTTAAAGTTGCCAAGGTTGAGAAACACTAGTTTAGAAAAATGACACACACACACGCGCACACACCGGTCCTGCAATGTCCTCTGGGGTCTCTTTCAGGCCAAGCCGACGGGTTGTGCCAGAAGCTGACCCACCCCTGCGTGTTGCCGAAACCTGAAAAACCCTGGGAGAAGGATGCTTGGGAAATCCCCAGAAGCTCCCTGCAGCTGGAGAAGAAGCTGGGGGCCGGACAGTTTGGAGAAGTCTGGATGGGTAAGGTCCAAGAAGGCCGGGCCTTGGATCCGACCTGTTCTGTGCCAGCCTACGTTACGCTCCCAAGGAAAAAACTCTCTTCCAAGAAACAGGCTGGAACAGCAGGAAAAAACCAACCCCTTTTATTCTTCACAGACCTGAGTCAATGTCCAAGTCCAACAAACACAGTCCACAGAAACTCGATCCTCGACACAAACGGTTGCCTTCGGCCACCAGCACCTCCCATACCTTCCCTTTTATTATGCAGCCCAGGCGTGGCTTCCTAATACCTTCTCCTTTGCCTTTGGAGCCGCCCCATTG